CGAGACCACCCCCTCCCCGGGTTGGTTCAACGCTATGTCCAACGCCTGGTGCTTACTAAGTGCTTACCATCTTGTATCCCGCCCATGCCTCGAAAGTGGTCCCGAAGTAGCAACAAGTTGCATCACATGAGCCGGCGTGTGCTGCTGTCGGATGTCGCGATCTTGTCGGTTGTTCGCGGAAACGCTGAGGAAAAAGACGCGAGCTGAAGCAAGGCTCGCTGTCGTTGCGACGTCCAAGGTCTCTGGTTCGATACCAGGACCAGGAGGATACTTTCGGTCGCGCACCAGTCACCTAGCTCTGTTTGAGATTTGCGTTTTTTCACGTCTAACTCTTGGTTAGCCCAGTTGGTAGAGCACTCGTTAGAAATGGGAGAGGTCCCTGTTCGATACCAGGACCAGGCGGATTTTTTAAAGTCGCGCACCGGTAACCTAGCTGTGCTTGGAGATTTGTTTGTCCCTTGTCCCACTTGTCCCTTGTCCCACCAGGGATTATTATCGGTTTTACTGTCAAGCTCACTCGTACCTTTGCATTAGGTGCATTATCATCAGGAAATGTAAGACCCAAAAAACAAACAAATTACTCGTTAGCTGCTTATACAGCGGGAGTTTAGTCTGCCACAGGGTTGGGCAATATCGCGATACAAATGTATCGCAATAGTATTTCCGAAATGCTTTTGGTATTTATATTTCTGTATTCCGATACAATTTTTCAATCAGTATCTGTATTTCAGTACCGGAATGGAACTTTGGTGTCGCCTTTTATCGCGACAATAGGTCGTTTTAGAATAACGTACGCAATTTTAGCGCACGCTAGCGCTAAATTTAGCGCTTGTATGAGCGCACGCGACGCAAGAGAGTTTTAGAATAGCGTTTCTCCGCCGCGACGCAAAAGCCCAAGCATCTCGCGCTTGCGACGCCACCAAGATACAGTAAAAATTTTTATTTTACACACGAAATGCTGTAACTTTAGAAAAAAAAACGCGTTTTTTGGTCCAGAGTAGCATTTTAATTTGTTTAAACATGAGAACGCGACGTGAGCGGTTGAGCGGTCGTGTCCGCTTGCGTTGCCTCGGCAAGAGAGGTCTCGTGTACTGACCTTCGCACATCATACCTTCGCCGTGAAATGTTCGCGCGTCGCAAGCATCAAGTTGTCGGTAATCGCTGCCAAACCGAGTACAATGTCGTCCCGTATTGGAAATTGCAGTCGCGAGGATACCGCCGACGTCGCACTCACGACGCCGCCAAAGCAGCCGCCGGCATAATCCTGGAAGCCGCCATGTTTTTTTAACTGTGCTCGTCTTGGATTTAGCCAACTTCTCATCACGAATCCTCCTCCGAGAAGCGCAAAGACTCTTTGCGTACGCATGCTATTTCCGAGAAATAGCGCACGCTAAAATTGCGCACGCAAAGCGCAAAACCTGGTTTGCGTTCGGAGCATGCGCAGTGGCGACGACGCTATTCTTTGCGTACGCAAAGCTTTAGCGTGCGCTATTCTAAAACTCCCTAATCCCCGGCCAATGTATCTCGCTATACTCTGTTTCACCTTGTGTTGTACCGCAGGAAAGGCTACAAGCGCGAGCTTCTTGCTCTAGGGCACATCTCGGCGGCACAAGCTCCCGTGCACCAAGGGTAGCTGCCAACGCTATGAGTTCACGCTTCTAGCCTTCGCTGCGGTACTTCAGTGACCCCCATGCAAAAGTCCAAGAGATTGTTTTCCTTCTCCTTTTGTGCTTCAGGGTGGTAGAACGTGCAGGAAATGGGACCTTGAGACATCGTTATCGTGCAGACCAAGGTTTGTTTAGAACATTATCGCCCCGGAATTCGTGACTACCTTCCCAATTTTTCGAAGAGAACATATGCTTTTTGGGGTGGTTCAGTTGGGCAATTATTTTTTGTAGTATGAAAACTTTGAAGGCCTTGTTGGTACTGTGGGCACATTACACCCCCAGCCCTATTTACTAGGGCGAGCGTAAAGTGTATTTCTTAGGATCCCCAGTTAAAGAAAAAAAAAACATAATTTCAATTAAAAGTGAATCTTGAAGTGACTGCAGACAGTGCAGAAAAGGTACTATGGTTTCCTATAGACTAGAGGAAGCTGACCATTCGGGGATATTTCGGTAGATATAGAAAACGAGTTTTGGGGTTTGTGCGACATTGCTTCGAAGGCGTAAACTATATCTAAAGTAGGACTGCACTGCATTCTGGACGAAAAGTATTTCTAACCTACTGAAGACTCGCTTTGTTCCCACAGCTTCGTGTTAAAAGGAAAATGTCAAATCTACGCGAAATAAATTTCGGGCTCGAGAACGTCCAAATTTAATTTAAATTTTTTCCTCACGGTTAATATGAGTTTTTGTTTTCACTGGACGACTCTTGTTTCGGCTTTAGAAGTACAGTCGGCCACAGAAGTCTACGACCACGCGAGCCGTGGCCGAGCTGCATTCCGTTGCGGTGCGGCGCCTGTGGTCGAGATCCGTAGTGCGGGCATACGCGTCCCTTGACACTCGCGGGCATTTCAGCTCTCCCGCCTCCGGCCCCACGCCTTCTTATTCTCAGAAATACGAGGCCGGGCGCCGCTTCGATAGCCACCGCTATCAGCCGTGCCGCAGCTGTATCTCGGTGGAGCAATGAGTGGAGTGGAATGGCTCATGATTTTTTTTGTTTGTTTCAGAAACCTTTTAATTTTCTCTGCAGACGCTGCCCTGTCAACCAGTCAGTGACAACAATTAATTTACAAAGCGTATTTTATTACACATTGCAGACATTATTAAATAAAATAATAATACAAAAACTTAGAAGGTTCTTAAAACAAAAACAAGGAAACAAAGCAAGACAGTATGGCCGTTTTCCTGACCGTTGAACTCCGCAAAAGAACTCCATGCAGGACGGCGGAAGATAGAGTTGATGTCGCAGCTTGTGCCAGTCATCGCGCCACCAAGATACAGCTGCGGCACGGCGATCAACAGCAGCTACCGAAGCGTCACCCGGCGCCGTATTCGGGAAAATAAGAAGGCGTCGGCCGGAAGTGGAAGGGTTCACATGCCTGCAAGTACCATAGGACGCGCATGCGAGCATTACGGGTCGCGACAACAGGCGCCGCGCCGCAAGCCGCAAGGTAGCGCAGTGATGCAGCTCGACCGCGGTTCGTGTGGTCCGCAAACTTTTGTGGACGACTGTACAAACCTTGTCAACGAAGCTACGTTTTAGCGCCTCCAAGCGAGGTTTCCATACACGTTGAAAAGCGGGAAAAAATATATTCATGGTTTAAGACTTTAGCGTTGTGAAAGCAGTCTTCGTTCGTTTTATTATAAACCCTCGACACCTGTGGAACGCATAGTCTCGTTCGCTAACATGACTATTTGCCCAAATCGGCAGCGGCTGATCGACGAGATATTTTAAAAGCTACTTCTTAACAAATGTAGTTGAATGTAGCAGCAAAGTCTAATGTTTACTTTTGTTTTGTATTGCTTTCATATGAAAAGATACCAAATGTACAAAAAACGTTGTTTCAGTCCTCTTTTACAAATAGTAACTTTTTCGGCAATAGAGTTCACATGACAGAAAGCTCTTTGAAGACAAACGTATGTGAATATTACTTCCCCGGCAAAATGTATTTCTGTGTTTGTATTTCCAAATACTTTTCTAGTTTTCAATTGTATTTCTGATAGGTATCCCTATACTTTTGTACGGATGTATTTGAGTATCAGTATTTTAGGTGCATTGGTCATGTACCCCATGTGTTTTCAAATACGTTTTAGACTACCTCCGCTCCGCCCAGCTGCCAGAACACGGTGACATTGTTACCCGCTGTAGACGGGAAATTTAGCCACTGCAGTACAACTGCTAGCCCGGGGCCTTCAAAGCGCATCACGCAGTAGTGATACACAACCGCACGCCGTACGATTCTCATCCAGATCGAAATGGGCAGGGAGTAGGGATTGAACCCAGGATCCCTGGGTTCTGGAGCGCGAGCTTTCGCAGCCACTTTAAGCTGGCTCCACTCCTCCATAGATAAAGGTAGAAAAGACAAGAAAAAAAGGAGAGCATAGTCTTCATCTCCCGAAGCTTGAAACGTGAAAAAAAAACTCCATCTCGTCCGACCTCGCGGATGTGTAAAGCCAGTAAGGCGAAATTACTTCCCTCGCTTCATTAGCTACAGTCGTCCTTGACACACACACACACACACACACACACACACACACACACACACACACACACACACACACACACACACACACAAACACACACACACACACACACACACACACACACACACACACACACACACACACACACAAAGTTATTACAGGAACACAGCAGTGATAAGCGAAGAAAAACAAATAAACACCGACAAAAAACCTGTACACAAACAATTCTAAAAGACACGAAACTCTACACAACCAACACGTTTACCGTTAATTGCTTAAGTTGAGCAAAAAGAACTATATAATAATTCCGAGATTGAATAGAAGGACGGTTATTATACGAAACACTTCCCTAAAATACGCATTGCTGAACCAACAAACAGTGGCAGTCGCTTAAATCGAAAGTAACTAACCCCGAAGATTTTGCACGTTCCAAATTCTAAATGTATATTTGAATGCGTAAATGGGTCGCAATAATCTTGTAAGGACTACGCGCAACGTTGAAATAAATACAGTGCGCAAAACGTTTTTTTTCTTTCTTGATACGACGACGAGTATAGACTTCTCTTGCTGCGACAAACTTGCTTATCTTCGAACAGGTATGCCTCCCGTGTGATCGAATAGAAACCACGCAGCGCAACATCTTATTTTCGACCGGGATTAGGAGTAAGACAGCACTCGCATCCGAGCTCGGAGGTGCAGATAAGGGATTTCTTGCGGACTTGTGAACCGACGATATAAGAGTGGAGGAGTTCGGAAAGCGAATCTTCCAGTCGTACGGATCCAAGCGCGACCCGAGAAACCGTTTTCACGAGTTTGTTTTCGACGAAGAATTGTCTTCCGCTCACCTACGATCATGGCGTACCTCACGCACTGCTGCGGTTGCATGACAGTTCGAACTGGAACAATGGTGTTGGCCATCTTAAATATGGTAAGTAAACTTCGTTGTTGCAAGGAACCGCGTTTCTTTTCTTTTTTTTTAGCAGCTCATTGACTTCTTTATCGGTCTAGAAGTTGCAGATGTGCATACGTTGGGGGGGGGGGGGGGGGGGGTACCCCCGTATAAACGAATGTATTCCGAAAAAAAAGGTTGTATATAAGTCGCACCCACGGCAGAAGAAGAAAGAGGTTTCTGAACGACGCCGCCTCGCCAAGAAGCACGTCTGTCGAAGGATCGCTACTATTTCTGGCACACTCCCTGAGATGGCGCAACGTAACAGGAGCTCGGCAAGGCGCAAGTGTATCGATGGTTTACTACAATTTCTGGCACACGCCGTGACGTGGCGCACCATGACAGGAGCTCGGGGAACAGCACGTTTCCAAAGAAAGCCACCAGGCACGCTACTGCGCCTGCCCACGCAGCCCCAACCCGTCAGTGCCCCTGCCGGGAGGAGCGCGAAACCCGAGTCGAATTTCGATTCTTTTTTTTGGCCTTGTTTCGACACCTGTCTCTGCTTTCACAGTGGTCGCACGGACTCGCGCCAATACACCTTTCAGAAAAGAAAAAAAGAAACGTCATTTGGCTGCTGTTGTGTTGCGGATGATAATGCAGGCGGTGCGAATCTCAGGTCCCCCTTGTCAGCTAGAAATTCTCTGTCACTTTCTTGGACTGTTGTAACCTGCTCAGCGCGATTCTCCACCTATGTTTTGCAATTTTGGCTTAACTTTCGATTCGGTATTCTTTTTTATATTTTATATTAATTTTATATTTTAAGTTTCGATTCACTATTCCTTTAGCCCACGAGCCGGCTTACTATCTCTTCTAAACCCCTTCAGCCTTGGTGAACGATGCAGTCAGCATGGCCATGCGTCAAGAAGCTGCCAAGCGTGAAGTCCGATGTGTGCCGAATGGGTCTTTCCCGGAGTTCTCACGGCGCATGCGCAGAAGCAGCAGACAGGCATCCGCCATTTTTGACGGCGTGGTGCGTCAGGCTCGGGACTGCTGGAAGCAGCGGCGTTTGCGCGTTTCTAAGTCCTCCGACATGCCTCAACATTGTTCCGTTGTCGGCTGCAGCAGCGACAGCAAGCGTTGTCGCGGTTTAATGGCGAATTCCACTGGGCGTTTTGGAGCGCGCCGGGATCAGTTGACCAGTTCCGGACTGGAGCACACGATCCGAATGGGGTCGCGCCGCCTACGGATCCCCAGTAGAACATGACCACTGCTCCGGGATCGGCGGACGCCTTCCCGTCATTCTACTGCCCGGGAATCCCTTTCCGCGGCCGCCGCGGTTATTTCGAAGACGTTTTCGCAATCGCGGCGCTATCACGTGTTCGACGCACGAGTGGCAGGAATGGCTCAGTCGCTTCTAGCGAAGATTGCCGGAATGCCCGTAGCGCGGCAAATACCTTCTCTTCTCCTTCCTGGAAAACGAACCGGCTGTCGAGCCAAGGGGTAAACAAGCGGCCATTACGAATTCTTTTGATGTCGAGACAATCTGGGAGCCCAGCCCGCGACGTGCTTCTTCTTCTTCTGAGGCGAGATGGGAGAGATCAGGCGAGATGCCCCGCGAGAAAGGAAGTCACGTGTGTGCGCCGAGGGCTGGCCCGGCTGGCTTCCGATTGAATCCGCCGAAATCGTGGGAGCGACTTTTCTCGGATCCAGATCGAGATCTGGAGTGGGAGCTAATTCAAAACAACCTATGAAAACACGTTGGTCTCGATCCCGATCGCCCAGTGAAATAGGCTCGCTCCAGAAATGTCAATCCCGGTGCGCTCAAAAACGACCAGTGGAATTCGCCATAAGTTTCTTCAGGTTTCCTTCTGCCTGCGCCCGACGAAGCGGCAGTTGGGGATTCGGGTGATCCGGAGAAACGATGCTTGTAAAGGCAGCCTTCAAAGCACTCCCGGGTATGCAGTTGCCACTTCAGGTTCATGTTTTCCTTCTTTTCCTTTTTCTATGGTGTGTAGATACAAGTCAGCTCCCGCGTTTCCAGTTGCCACTTCAAAAAAGGTTTCATGTTTTGTTTTCCTTTATTTTTTGAATAGAGTGCAAATGCCAGTCAACCGATTGGGTATAGGTATGCTTCCGTGTTGTTTATGGGCCACAGAAAGCGAATGGGGGACTCCGAGTTCGCGTTTCCATGACGGTGCGTTTGACCGGCGCACGCTTTTGCTTGCTAAGGTGGCGATCCTACGAAAACCGCCTGTCTGCTTTTTGGTTGTAAACACTGGAATCGCCCACGGTTACCAAATAATCACAAATAATTGAGGTAAAGCGGCTAGGCTGTACGGTTGGTTGCTATGTGCACACCCGAAAAGAAATGGGAGCAGCTGTTTTTCTCCATGACCGCATCAGGTGGTATTGCGGTTAAATAAGGAAAAGTAAATAACCGACTTGGAGAATTGTGCTCGTGTTTGTATCGAGTAAACAAATAAGTTTGGAATATTGTCTAAAGCCGCGAGACTGAAAACAGACAAAGATGAACAATTTCGAGTTCTTTTTTTGTTTTTTGTTTTTTGTTTACAGGATCTACAGGGACACACAGCTGTTGCCTGAAATGGGGTGACATAAATGCCGATGATCGCTCTGAAATCGGCGGCTGCACGTAAAAATCTGAAATATTCATAAAAGATGTATTTTAGTCGGCAATTTTTTTTCACCTTATGAATTTTCAAATTGTAGCTCCCCTGCAGTAAAAAAACGAGACGAACAAACTTGCCAGGGTCAGCGGCTTTCGGGAACGCGTCTGCCGTTGACCCGGGCAAGTTTGTTGGTCACATTTTTTACACAAATAGGGCTACGCTTTAAAATTTCACAAGCTGAAATCCACCACAAAAATACACGTTTGATAAAAATTTGAGATTGGTGCGTGCAGGCATCGAGCTTCTCAGACGATCTTAGAGTAAGCCTTTTTACTATATTGTAGAGCGTGCAGCTACTCTGGGATCATTGCACTCCCGACCAATCGGGCAGCCAAGAGTTGTGTGACGTCATACCATGTGGCGGTTTGTGCGGGGCACATTCTGTGGTCCCTTGTCCTTGTTCGCATGATTAAGTATTCTTTAAGTTTTTATTCTTTTCTCGTTCGCTATAGATCGGCAGTGTAATTTCCCTGGCTGTCATTTCCGTCCTCGCCGGGTTCCTCAAGTCGACTGCGAACATCCATGCAAACGAGCCGTCGCTGTACCGCGCGGCTATGGGTAAGCGCGCCTTTGCGACCCCCTTCTTCGGAAACAAATGCAAGGTTTCTTCGAGGCAAACTCGCGTACAAAATGCAGTTTGCGAACACCGTCTGAGGCGTTCCATTTTTCTATGGCAATTTTGTTACATGTGTTACAAAAAAAAAAAAAGTTCTTTGGGGGAAACTTTTTTAGAGTTTCTATTTTTCTTTTTTAATATTGTTTCATGGTTCCTTTAAGAAAAGTGGGCGCTGTCATATGCTCCTCCCCCTCAAAAACCTCAACAAGAACCGTGCATTCGTACTAAGTGGCCCGTCTATGCCATTTCTTTCCGCGAAATTCATCGTTGAATCTTGTTTTGCTTTATTTTGCGGTGTATTAGCGTGGGCGGCAACGTTTCGCTACTGCCAACGTTGCGGCCGCCGACGATATAGATTCCTTAGGCTTCGCCATGCATCGAACACTGTTTTTTTTAATTTTTTTTATGATGTATGAGCAGTTTGACTGGGGTCCGTATCGTTTCAAAGAAACACGTTTCACAAAAACGCGTTTCGTTGACAACTATTCATGGACGCACGTTTCATGGACACATGTTTCGTCGACACTGTGATGTTTCATAGGAAATCGTTTCGTGAAACATCACAGTGTGTAATTTTTGATGATGTAATTTTTGTTTTAGCAAGTGGATTGGATTACTGGCTTTATTCCGTTCGCTGGAAGCGTACCGGAACTAGAGCGAACTCGAAGCTCTGATTGGAGGAAAACAAATTTGCGAGTCCTATTTTTAAACTTCTGGACAGTCCGCGCTACGGGCGGGAATCCCTCGTTCCGCCAGTGGAAACCTTAGTATAATCTCAAACAAGAGCTTGCACCAGACTCTGTCGGAACCGCCAAGGGTTCGGCAAGCTACGCGGACAGCAAGTCGTCTGTTTCTCGCGCAGGAGTTACTGCGACGTCAGAATGGCTCCGAGTCAGGCTGTGAAATAGACAGGTGGGGAAACGGCCCATAGAAGCCTACCGCAGCGCCGTGACCGCATTGTGTACTCGTCTGCTTGCGGGTACCCCCGATTTGCGACAGATGGCGCTTAGGTGAGAGGAAAAAAAAATTGGAATAGGATTTGCGTGGAACTCTATGGGGGAGTGCGCAAACAAACCGAGAGCACGACAGTCCTCCATTAAAAATCCACGAAAAACCGTCTCCGTCAGTTTAGCCGGTCACCACCGTTCGCCCACCTGGAGTGAGAGTTCGCGGTGCTCCGCATAGATGGCGCCAGAGAAAAAAAAAGAGAAAACCGAGGGGGACACAATCCGGGCGGTCATGGGGCTCTCGTTTCCCCACCTGTCTATCTTACACCCTGCTCCGAGCTCTGATTGGCTTTGGTTGAAAGTATATTGGGTAGACCTCAATGCTAGATGCCTCGTGGTCGACCCAGGATTGTTTTCGATCAGCCGACAAGAGCTCGGCGTTCTGACATTATCGCAACCCTTGTGCGAGAAGCAGACGAACTAACGCTCCGCGTACAGGTTGCCATCCGGGTGACGGCGACAGAGGCGATTTCCGCGGAAAGGTGTTTTCGACGAAATGTCGCGAGGTACGTCGACGAAACGAACGCGGGAACTTTTTTCGGTGAAACCAACTGTCAATAAAACGTCGCAGTGTAGGCGAAGAACAATGGACCTTTTCCGAGAAGCGTTCTGCGCACGCGCGAGCGCCCGATGCCAAGCATCGGAAGTTGGAACGAAAAATCGAGGAAATTCGGAAGGAGGCTGTATATCAGCGAGTAGAACACGTAACTGCAGCATATATATAATTGTGTTACACAAAAAAAGAACGTCGACGGAAAGGAAAACACGACGTTTAGGTGGACGCCATGGATGCCCCACTTTAATGTCGCGTTGGGCAGGCGCCGCTGCTCAGAGAGCGAAGAAACTGGTAGCGTAGCTCTCATTATCGATTGGTAGCGCAGGTAGGTCGCTTCCTCGATTTTTAGTTCGTGCAGCCACCGCCTGGTGCCGTCGGTATGTGGAAAAAATCCATTTGTCGTAAAACGTCGTTCGACGAACTGATTGCCACAGGTCTGACTGCGGCTTCACTGAGTATCGGGAAAGCAGTATAGCCATCTAAGACGCCTTACTAGCAGATAGCGTTTTTGTGGAGTGGTATCGGTGTCGGAGCCGATGCTGCCACTTCGAAACCTGTTTCGAATTCACACGCCTGGAGCTGCATCGACTATTTGAAGACGATCTAAAGCTGCGAACACACTGCTTGTTTACCATTAAAAAACCTCGAGTCTGCGGACACTGGCTGAGTAGTGTCTATTCGTTGTACGACCTGCCTGACTCATTGGTAATACAAGATCTGTCTCCAGACAGTTCTTGTTGCTCCAAACGGGTGTGAACGTAGATAAGCCTGCCATCATATCTGCAGAAAACATCGACTCTCTTCTATAATGTATGAATGTGGGTGCGGCTTTACGAAACATCTTGTTGCCTTAATATTCGGAGTAGTAATGAAAACCAAACAATAAGATAAATGGCTCAACAGACGCTGATAAATGGATTCTTTCGTGTCCCCAGGTGGGTTCGCTCTACTCGTCCTGCTAGCCATCAGCTCCGGCGTCGTGTTCATCGCGGCCTGCCTGTGCCTATGGGGGGTACGCAGGGTAAGGCATCCGGAATTCCTGACTTCTCTTGGCCAGACATGGGGGAGTTTTCGTAGATCCCTTTTTTTACCTCCACGAGGCTCCCCGCAACGAAAAAGCCACTACACATCTACGGCCCGTGCGCGAAGCTATAGCCTGGCCTATCTCCGATCTTTGGCGTAGAGCTGAGCCGGACGGCTGAAGCTGTCTACGAATGCTGCCTAAAAAGGGGTTTTTTGTAGATCGTTTCCGCCGTCCAGCAACGCTTTCCGCAACCGGCTACGAGGGGATTTGAAACTCCGAGGGGAAGGCTTGCGCAGTAGAGATGTCTTCGTTGAGTACAGACAGTGCCGGCCTTAGAAATGGTCGACCTGGGTGTTTTATTGTGGCTAGCGTCGTTTTGATACCTGTAGCACCATCTAGCGAGTGTCCGGCGCCCGCTAAATTTAGCGAAAAGAATTTCCCCGCTAAAATGGGCGGAAAAGTTTCCCCGCTAGATTTCGCGTAAAAATTACCCGCTAAATTGGGCAAAAAAATTTGCCTGCTAAATTTGGCAAAAAATTTTTGCCTGCTGAATTGAGCCAGGAAATGTTCCTCCAAATTTAGCGGTTTAATTTCCCCGCCAAATTTAGCGGAAAAAGTTTCTGCCACATTTAGGTGCCATGTGACCCTCGTGACGTCACTCATGACTCTCGTGACGTCATGTTCGACTTCACGTATGACGTCATTATGGAAAACGTCCCATAATGCAATGCGCGGTCACGCCGACGGCGACGCCGCTCAAGCCGGAAGCGGGCGCCTAAGAGCTGCGCTCTAAAATGCAATGAGTCATTTCGGAGGCAAGGGCTGAGTTGGGGGACTTGTCAGTCCTCGTTTAGGATAAGGCACAGCACAGCCCACAGAAAGTGAGTCGGTAGGATGCTTTGTTCAAGAGTTCCCATTTTGGGATTGAGGTCACTGTTTAAGGTTCAAGGGAAGATCAGCGTGGGTTGGAAGGTATCACAAATTTTTGGCGTTGTGACGTCGGTGCTCCGTGAACAGGTTGTGGCTTTATAACGCTTTGAGGAAATAAACGCAGTTGCTAAACTTGGGACGTTCTTCTTCCTTTGTCATTTTTCTTCCACCAAGTTCCCCTCCTTTACCACAGTCTCGGGTAATCCACATCATGATGCATGGCCCATTTCTCCATTAAATTCGGTATCAAAAGATCGATACCAGATGGTGCCATCGGACGAGGAAGGGTAAAGGAAGGGTAGAGCCCTGCCTTTTTTGTGCAAAGACACACTCTGGTGTCTGCAATTGTTTCGAGGTAGGCGACTCCTCATTGGATCGTCGTAAGTGTCGCCATAGCAACAGCTCGATGCAAGCAGCCTTAACGAGGCGCCAGTGGTTGCAATCGCACTCCACTATCTGAACGAGCCTTTAGAGCCCATAGATTCAGTCATGACCATAAATATACTATTGCAGAAAGCGGTTTGGTGCCCCTCTAAGGCCGACCTGGACCTTGCGAATGGTCAAAACGGGGACGAAGTCTAATAAAGTACACCCTCGGCGTCGCTTTTTTGACACCCGTTGCGGATTACCTTGGCAAAGTGTCTTATTCACTCGTATTACACTGCGCGACTCTGTTAGCGCGAAAGCGCGACTTCGGCGCTTTCTTTCGCAGTTTACTTTGAAAGAGTATACAGGCGAGAATCAATATTTACCACTTAGGTTAGTACCCGAACTGAGCATTTACCACCACTGCAGTAGTTTTAAGGACAGTTCTTCAATACTGGCAAAAACTAAGAGTTACGATGGCTTGTTCGCGCTAATAGCGTTGCGAAGTGTACAGAGTTTGCACAAAAGGGACTTGTTCGGTCGTTCTTTAAAGACTGCGAAGAGATAGAGGGAGAGACAGAGAGAAAGACCATCTAACCAGCTGCGAGATTCTGTGGGTTCTGTGACATTTTGAGGTATTATTATTATTTTTTTTTTTCAGAATAATCGTCTCTACGTCTTGCCTTTCCTGATATGTCAACTCGTGGACTTGGTGTTCCGAGCGATCCTTGTCATCTTCCTGATCGCAGTTCTCGCAACCACCGTGAGTCGTCTCACCTTCGGTTGTTCCGCCTCCAGAGATCTTTTTACGTTACATAACACTTCGGCGTTTCGCGAGCCCCGGGCATGCTGTCAAAGCCCGACAGAAAGCAACTGTCGCATACTAGGAGCTGGGCAACCGATGAGACGCCATGTGCTTCTTTGTTCCTTCTTAGCGACCATAGTCTGTTTCAAAATTATTTCTGCAGAAGAAGGTCTCCCCCCAGAGTAATCATTCCACCTTCGATAGCCAAAACAAGATAGAAAGAAATAAGCACGTGCTGTAGGGGGAACTTCTACTGAACATGTTAGGTTGCAACAAAACAGTCGGCGTAAGATTGAAATAACGCGACCCCAGCCCCCCCCCCCCCCCCCCACACACACACACACATTTTTTTTTTATGCTTGAATACGTTTGGAAAGGATTCCTAGAAACACAACCGGAAGTTAGTCAGCCTCTAAGGGCGTCTGGCATCTGAGCTGTAGATGAGAAATATTTTCGCTGGAGTGATTGAGAACCGCACGCCGGTGCGAGACGGTAAAAATTAATCCACTTTTAAGAGGCACATTTCTGCCATCCAGCCATTTTGTCTCAATAAATCCTCAGACCCGTTTTCGTGCGAACGCGCAAAGTTTCGTAATCAGTTCTAACTAAGCGAGTTAGAGAAAATAAGCCCGAAGGAATGTTGACTTGTAGTGGTCTTAGTTTTATAAAAAAATTAATATGATATGAGAAGGTTACCTCATGTTAGGGCTAGGCGCCAATTAAAATTTCAAACCGATTAATCGCTCTCGTTTAATCAAGAAATTACTCAATTAATGGTTTTTGTTGGCCCAGGCATAATACCTCCAAAAGTGTCCAAACTCCACTATCTTTTTGTAATTATGTTTTTAATTAAATATATTTGATCAATAATTTAGCTATAGATTCGCTCTGGCTGACAGTCACATGGAAGGCTTAAAAGATGTGCCCTGGAATACAACACGAAAATTTAAGCGCAGACTAATGAAACCGGCATTCTTTTTAATTTTCATGTTAAGTTTTGCAGCATTTGCCCTACCGAATAAATGAACTAAAAAAAAGTTTTCGTGATTACAGCGTATTATCGATTAATCGGAAGGCTAATCGATGAACCGCCTGCAGCCCCATCGTACGTTGAGTGCTTACTGTGATTACAACTGCGAATACATTTTGTTCGCATCGACCTGTCTAAAGGTCTGTTCACACGATGCATCTTTTAGGCGCGCAACAGTTTCGCGACACTCAAGTTTTGCGAAATGCGCTCGTTCACACGTACCGCTTCACGTGCAACAACGATGACGTTTAGACTCGCGAAAATAGTTTTGGTGTTGACCATAAAGTGGCGCTTCAGTTGAAAACCAACATCATCATCATCACCATTAGCCATTCAGCGTCGTGTCATTTACTTCCATTCACTTAATTTACTCTTAAATTGTCATTTACTAGTGGTTGAATTGTCATCTACTGCCATTTACTTTATTTACTGTTGAATATGTATAATTTGGATGGAGGTTGACAAAGAAGAAGACTGTTGTGGAAGTAAATGAGAGCTGTACGCTGTGCTGGTTTTGAGGCGGTACTGAGTACGTCCCTTTTTGTTTCCTTGTCTCAAGGATTTATTTCTTAATTATGACTAAAAATAGACGCGAATTATCATCATCACCAATTACGTCTTCGACCATCGCTGGATTTTTTTCCGATATGCTACTCACTTTTCCTTCAGTGGTGCTTGACGTGCTTGCGGAAGCGCCGGCAATATCCATCGTTTGTGGTTTCGGTTTTTTTCGGATTTGGCTCGGCTACAACACCGGCAGTGAAGTGGTCTTCTCAAACAGCTCGCTCCCCCCTCAAAGGCCACGTGAGAGCGTTTCTGAGCGGCCATTGGTGGCGCCCTCAGAGTGATTGACAGGACTCGGCAAAGTTTCAGCAAAAGCTCGCTCCAGAAGCGAGGTGTGCGCGCAACTTTTTTTTAGATGCGCGCGTCCTTTTCGGGCTCATTCAGACGGCGCAACCATTTCGCGAAACTAAGTTTCGCGACACTAGATGCGCGAGAAAAATGCATCGTGTGAACGGGCCTTAAGGGGGACCTTTCTATGTTTCTTAATAAACCGATGATGATGATGATGATTTTATGGCTGTTCCCTTTGAAGCGGGCGGTTTCAAGAGAAAGCGCCATCTAGTAGCAACCGCGCAAGCTATCAGAGTCCGCCAATAGGGCCTGGCTCGTATTGGGCACGAGCTATACGTCGGCGTTCGGCGAGGATTCGGGATCCATTCACACGCTTCGGGCCCGATGAATGGATGGATGAATAGATGTTAATACTGTTTGTAACGGGCGGTAGTTTGCGCCACCTAGCCTAAGCCTAAAAAAGAAAAAAAGCCGGAAATCGCAACCGCCGGTTAATTGATAAGGTCTTGAAAAGGTTGTATTGGGCTTGCTTCGGTTGGCAACATTTCTTCCCCATTGTTCATTTCGCAAGAAAGGCGCTTGTGCTCTCAGCGAAGGACTCTGGTAAAAGGTGCGTGTTTGAGTTCAGCTGAATAATACCACAGATTGCCTTTCTGCCCCCCCCCCCCCCTTCCCTTCTTAAATTTGATGTCCCGTTTTCTACTCTGGGGATTATGGTCACCCCAATTCTACGGCACAGGGATCTGCTCTTACGATGTATGTGCTTGAATTGCAGGCCCTGTTCTCGTCTCCCGGAACCCTCGCTTCGCTCGTGGTGTCCACGCTTCTTGATGTGAGTTGAATTCGCCGTAAGCCGACAGCCGTGCGAAGAAAAAAACTATAATTAGACGTGTTCATACAGCGCAAGGTCGGTCTGTCGGCCTTTGAGGTATGGCGGCATCTTTGCTGTATATTAGAAATGTAAACAGTACACCACGCAGTAGTAATACAGGACCACGCTCTAATACTATTTTCATAAAAACAATTGGAAGCGACCTATCTTTACTTTTTAAAGTAGTATATTGCATGAAATGCAGCATTTGAGGAGCGATCGTTTAAGACTATTTAGAAGACATTAAACGGACGTTTCGGAGGGGAAGTGTCTTTATTTTTATTAAATTCCCCAAAACGTTGAGCGGGTAAACTAAATGGATGTATAGGTCGCGTGATGTCAGGTCACCTGACAACGATTTGCCGCTAAATTTAACGGCGAAACTGATTTGGTGTATATAGCTTACGTGACATCGGGTCACACGACATTAATTTTCCTTCTAAAATTTAAAAAGGAAACATAATAGACCTTATTCATTATTAGCGCCATCTCTCGGCGGCCGCGGGTACTCAAAGGTGGCTCGGCGCCATCTTTGAGGAGTGTTCACCGTCCCAGTCACCCGACGCCCGCCACAAAACGAACCCCTCTCCCCGCGTAGCGTTCGTGCATGTTGCTGTTTTTTTTTTTTTTTAATTTTTCTTTTTCAGTTTATTGATGGTGCCAGCCGCTCGAAAATAAGTTACGAATATTAAGCGCAATTTTCTTTTAAGTAGTTTCACTAAGACTCTCTTTTCAGAAAAATTAGCTTGATTCCAGACCTAGAGCAGGCCGACTCATGCACTTGTTTTAAAATCGTGCGTTAACTTGACTGACCAGCTGATTATGCCTGTTCGCACAAAGGAAGATTTGTATAATATATTTGGTAGGGCCGTCAGCCCCTGTGCGGTAGTTTGTTTTTATTTTACATTCGCGGCTGCGGGTCTAAAGAATGTGAGCAGTTCTTCACACAGTGCGCCTTGACAGCTGGCCTGTGCAGACCAGAATGGCAGAATTCTGTGATGGGTGCGTTGAACGTCTAATCTTGGCCCCCGTGTCTTAACCTTAAGAATATTGCAGATATAATTACACACACACACAAACAACAACAACATGAATTTAAATTTATTAAATAAATTTGTTTTCAGTTCCTTGGGGAGATCACCAAATGGTAGCTCAAAACAACATTATGAGGATTGCGTGTGATAAAACACGAATTTACGGTAGTAGTATTTTTATTGCAAATAAAAAAAAAGAAACCACGCTGAATATTTACGCTAGGATACTCACACAAGCGTATGCGAGGCACACAAGCGTAAAAGGAAATGACCGGCTTGTCGCCGCGGTGCAAATACGCAAAATATCAAACATTAAAAAAAAAAAGAAACGTCATTCTACGGAAAGTAAAACATTTTATTTTTATAATCATAGCAATAATACTAACAAATAAATTATACCTGCGCATATATACTTTTCGGCCCCATTAGAGAAAATGCATAAATATGTCAGCGACATTTAAATGTGCTCCTCCTGGTAAGGCGGTCACATAGCGCTCAGCGCGCCTATGCGTCACGCTTACTCGCAATACAATATGACCAGTGCTCATAAAAGTGGTTCCTTGCAGTATTTGCTACAAAGAAAAAGAGCTTCTCCCGCAGTGCGAACCCGTTCTGCTGGGAAGCGAGCAAGCGGGACAGTTAAACTCGCCAACCGGTTCAGGTTAGCAGTGAAGAGCACACTTTTATGGTTTCGACTACATCTCGAAAATGTTTATCGAAATGTGAGACTAGCGTGATAATAATGATACAGCGTAAAGGAAGCGAGCGTTCACCTCTGCTTTTTAGCACCTCTGCCTTTATCATTCGTGTGCGAAACGAAGTTGTTGCGTCACCTAGCTCTTCTGCACCTTGCATCACCCTTCAATCGGTTATAAAAAAGTCTTCAGCGAGTAGAAAAAAAAACAAAAAAACAGGCGAAAAACAGTATCTGAGTGATGTTGACTGGACCTCGCCGTTGCTCTTCGTGAGCGAAGCTACGATGCTAGTCAACATCAAGCTCCCAAAAAATCACATAAAATAATATATGCTCGCGCATGTTGCATACAAATATAATGAGCGCTGCATGCCATTGGGAAAAGCGTCATATGTTGAGGAAAAGTTTAGGAGCCCTGTGAAAACACACAACACTATACTTTGTTTCAGCTTAGGTCCGAGCACGGCCGATGTTATGAGTCGAAGGGCCAATCAAACAGCCAAGAGGCACAACGTCATGGCGTGCTCTCAACAGTTCATAGGACCTGCCGTTATTCGCCGTCTCTCTGTTCGTGTTCCTCCGCCGGCTAGTCATATCAAGTGCAGAGAGCACGCCATGACGTCGCGCTTTTTGTGCTGTTTGATTGGCACTTCGGCTCATAACATCGGCCGCGCTCGGACCGAAGCTGAAACGAAGTATAACGCGCGGGTGCTCTTTTTAGGAGCATGAATAGCACAGGAAAGCGCTACGGCTATTCACATGTTGGCTAAGATATCCTTAACTGGAAAAGCAAAACAATACGATCCGAATCTGGGCATCAGTTATTGTTTATTTGATTTCCTCGTTGAATACGTAGCGGAACAGAGCAGTCGTGCGGTCGCTGCGCCCCGCTTTCACAGGCCGCAAACGGCCACAGCGCTTTGCCAGTCGCAGCTCAAAAATGGCGTCGGATGGAAGGTTGGCGCCACGTCCGACAGATGGCGGGCGAATCTGAATAAGGTCTATTGGTGTGTAGGTCTCGTGGCGTCAAGTCACGTGAAAACAATTGGCGTCACGTGACCCAGATATTATTTCAGTTTCCCCGCTAAATTTAGCCGAAAATGCACGAACAGACGGACGGACAAAACTTTGGGATCAAGAAGTCCCGTTAAAAAAGGATTTAATGCTTTAAAAAAAAGATATAACACTCGTCTTCGTACAGCGTAAGGTCCGTCTGCCCTCGAGGTATTGTGAGACTGGTTTACGGTGTAGGTGGGAAATTTAACTAGTGCAGTACAACCGCTAGCCTGGAGTCTTCGACGTGCACCACGTAGTAGTGATACACGAACGCACGCCGGTAGGATGCTCAGACAGATAAACAAGCCAAAAATTTGACTCAGAGAGCATAAGCTCGGTCTGCCTTTGTGGTATGATGGCACTGGTTTAAATTGTAGATGAAAAATGTAGCCAATGAGGTACCACTGCTAGCTTGGGGTTTTTAAATGTGCATCACGCACTGATGTGATATACAACCGCAAGCCGGTGGGGTGCTCATCCAGATTGTAAAGAATGAAGGCATCCTACGTAAGGGTGGAGATTGAACGATTGAACCCAGCATCCCCAAGTTCCACAGCGCGAAATTTCGCTGCTCCGAGCGGCGGTGCCATGTGTGTCGTCTTCCTCCTCGCTCGCTTGAGGCTTATTTTACCAGCCCATAGGCGCGCTCTCTTATTTCAAGTATTGCTGATGTTAAAGGGATACTGAACCGAAATTTGGATTTCGCAAACTAAGGCCGCAGAAGCGTTGAACGGGACGCTACGAACTCCAACACACCACTCACGCATCGATATCTCAAACGGATGGCCGTACTTTTGGAAAAGAAGGGCGCGATCAAGCGAGGTGTTTGGCGTCATTGTCCACCGGGAAAATTTGAGAATGAGGGGAAGCGGCCTCGCTTTGGTTCACCAGCTTGACGGGACGTAGCGAGGAGGAGAGGAAATGGGAATCGTGACGTACCTTGTCTCGTCGGCCTCGTCAGCCGTGTTCAATCGCCGCAGTTCTTTTCCAAAAATACTGCGATCCGGTATAGATATCGCTGTATGAAAGATATTTGGGGTTTTGCAGCTTCTCGACTATCCGTCCAGCCTTGTTTAGTGTTCTCGAAATTTCGGTTCAGTATCCCTTTCAGCACTAAACTCGGGTATAAACAGTGTGGAGAGTTTACCTATGGGAAGAATTTGTTTGAATGACTTCTAGCTTTTTTTATAGGAAGGCAATAATTTAGTGAACTGTAAATTTAGTCTAGGCAAGGAGCGGGACATAACTGAAGCCCCGACCAGGGCGGCCCTAGCGGCATTTTCATCGGTAGGTCCTTTTTAGCCGCCTCGCTCAGGCTACGGTCGCTGAACGTTTGCGAAGCAGCTTGCGGAAGCAGCCGAAACAGCTTGCGGAACCGAAGCACCGAAGCAGCTTGCGGAATTCGTAAGAGCCTTCAATCCCGTCGTAATAATAACGGGTACACTGTAGGCCCGCTTAATTCATCTCAATTGCTTCCCAATGTGTAGGCGGCGACAAGCGCTAGGTGGCAGCGAACAATCAGAGAGCCTGTGTTACAGAGAATGTCCAACTGCTCGATCATGGTCACATGGTTAATGGGTTGCGTTTGCTATTCGAGCTACAGGTGACGAACGCGTTGGTCGTCCGCAAACGACTCCCGCCTTCCCGCCTGCTTTCCTCCTAGCGACGTGATAACGCAGCCCATGCTCACTCGCAACCAATCTCGGAAGGAGGCGTCCGCCATTAAACTGCAAACGCTCCCTTTGGTTTAAGATGATCTTTCTCTACAATCGAGGCTCTCTACTAAAAATAGGCTACAGACGCACGCTCCGGCGTGCTTCTTTCCTGTACTCAAGGTTGTTGCAAGTGTCGGGCTTCTTTTCGAATTTATATTTTCTAAGCTATTCTAACTATATGTGTTTTAAAATTGTCAGGAAAATCAAGTTTACTCATTTCGCACTCATAGCACCTCGCCAGCCGTGTGACAGCCGCTTCTTTGAAGAGGCTTCCGCGGAAAATACATTAAAAAGGAGAGCGTCGTCTGACATCGGCACACCCCTGTCAGACGGACCGCCTAAGCTCTAATAAGGTGGAGAACTGGGCCAGTTGGTTGACGTTATACATGATGGGGAAAACAGCTCAGAAAACACGGACTACGAAGAGGAACGAACACGACAGGACAATGCTGTGTTGTCCTGTCGTGTTTGTTCCTCTTCGTAGTCCTTGTTTTCTGAGCTGTTTTCCCCATCATGTATAACGCCTAAGCTCCTTTAGTAGGAAGAACCTTCTTCCGAATGGAGGAGGAGTTCGTGCCACACGGCACCGTAACTGCTGCTTCTCCTAACGTCCGAGTCCCACTAGAGCGACGAACAGAAACAGCCCACAATCCCCAAGCACGTGCGGCATGCACGCGAAGGTACACATTTGGCGGGCTTGCAGACTCTCGGGGCTTGTAAAGTAAGCACGAGTGATTGCGAGCCTGCCAAACATACCTCCGCGTGGTTGCTTGCCACACGCGCTGGCGGCGTGTCGGTGTCGCTTGTTTCTGTTTATCGCTCCAGTAGAACTCGGCCAAAAGCGTCCTCTTCGGAAAAGGAGCCTGCTTTAGTGCAAAAGAAGCACCCTCGACAGAAGTCCCTTCTGTCGAGGGTGTTTCCTTTGCAACTAACGGCAGAGGAGGCGAGCTGGGGCTTCCTTTTCCTTTCTTGCCGTGGTAACTTTGAAGGGCTGACCTCGGGATGGCTTTTCGGGCGTTGATTGGGGGGCACGCGTACCCACGCGCAGAGGGCAGGGTCACCTGACGAAGTGGACGATAGCTGTGACCGCACTGCCATCTTAGGGCTGAAAGTGCGAGGCCCCATTGAGTGAATCAATTGCGGTTTTTTCTCCTCGTGAGAATAAACTGCGTATCGGAGAAAGCTGAAACTCCTCGAGAACGTGACGCTTTCGGTAGTGACAAAATGCGAAATTGTGCGAACATGACGTTACCTGGATCGAATATACCAGAGAATATACGAGAGAAAAACAAAAATTCTCTATGCGGAGAGCGAGTCGTCTGTTTTTGCTCAGGACTTGCAGTGACCTCAAAACGACGCCAAGCTCTCATTGGTTGATTAAAAAAAATAGTGCGTAGATATTAATGTTATATGCTTTGAGGTCTACCCACTATAGCTTTCAATCAGCCAATAAGAGCTCGACGTCGTTCTGACGTCCTCGCAACTCCTGAGCAAGAAGACGACTACTTGCTCTCCGCATAGGCCGACATCCGCCTAAGCCTGCAATTTATGGAGCCTAAAAAGACAATATTGTGTTCATTCTTTCTGACGACCTTTTTCTAATGAAGATAAATGCTACAGCCGCCCACAATGACATTTCTTGGATTCGACCCGCTCCAGACGGAGACATTTCTCCCAGCAACTTGACGTCACATAACCCTCTTTCCTGTGACCAATATGTCACCTCCCAGTGCAGGCAAAGTGTACTAACCGAATTGTTACAGTTTGCCATCATCATAAAATTTTAGTTTTCTTGCACTATTTAGACAAACAGTCACGCGCTATAAACGTGTCTGTAAATCTTTAAATAGCGTTGAGAATGCTAACTCATCTTTTTTTAAATTACTTATTTCCAAACACCACCCATTTTAAACCAACGAAGTCAATTAGTTGTCATCGCCACCACAGGGTAGTCACGTGAAAATCTTGCGTCCCTGATTGGCTGCTGTCGCGTCAAACGTTTCCGAGTTGTCCGAGTTGCTCGACCGTTTTGAGCACGACTCGATACCAGCGATTCGTTTTGCAGCGCGAGGACCAGGGAAAAGCTGGGGAACGACTCGCCAGCAGCACCGAAATCTCTGCGAAAATTGCCTCATCTGATGCGGACCGTACGGGGACCTCGGCTCATAGATACATTTTGTTTTTCCCTCGTATCTTGTTTATCTAGGTATCTTCATGTACTCAAACTTTAGCATTTCATCACCGCCGCTCTAGTGTCACACTCTCACGGAGTTTCAGCTTTCTGAAGTGCGTTGTTTGTTTACGCGGGCCGAAAAACCCGATATCCTTTTCTCGTTCTAACTTTGTAGTATGGCGTTGCAACGTCGTCTTCATGACAAAAGGAACGTCAAGAGCCACTAAGTTTCGCATCAGAGTACCGACAGTTCAACCCTCTTGGTGCTCAAAATCATGGTTGCCACCTATCCGAAGCAATAGTAGGTGACAGAATAAGAGTATGGAGTAGAAACTCCTCCAGCCGCTTTCCACTTTAGTAGAGCAAACGCCGGAGAAGGGCGACCTCCTCTCTTGCGTTCGATGCTCCGAGTCTTTTTAGTGACTCTCGCACTATTTGTTTTCAGATCTACTTTTTCTGGGTAGTTGTGTCCTACTACAAGCAACTGGAGTTTGCCGAGAGAAACCCAGGCGTTGCCACGATGCCTGCCGCTCAAGTTGTGCCTCCTATGTCCTACGTGCCACCTCCCAGTGCCCCGCCTTCGGCTCCGGGAGTCCACAATTCAGGATACGTTGTGTGAAGAAGCTCATGTCTGCTCCTCGTGTTCTTGTTTTCTTTTTACCGTTCGGTTGAAATGAGCGCAAACAGTGTACTAGTTTACTAGAAGAATCTGTTCTATTCCGATCATCTGCAATAGAGAGGGCTCCATGCAGCGAAAAGTCGTGATGAGTAGAAGGGAGACCCCGCGTCCCGAAAAACGCATGCGCGTAGCGCTGTGCCGGGCGAGAGGACTGCCGCCCGCGCAACGACATACCGGAATCGCAACCACAGCCGAGACGGCTGTTTCGGCTCTCCCAAAGGCTGCAAAGGCTGCTTCAAACGTTTTCGACAACCGCGTTACGCTCCACTTCGTCGTACAGCATAGCTCCTCCCCATTGGCTCGTCGTAAGGGTCGCCATAGCAACAGCTCGACGCGAGCAATCTTAACGCAGTTAAACGCAACTGTGTGAACGAGCCTTAACAATCGGCTGTTACAAGTGTGCACAGGCAGCACGGCTGTAGACGGCCAGCTTCCTTTTGTCGTCAATACACAATCAACCCACGACGAGAAAGAAAAATCCCGGGGCTGTGCGCGTCCAGCCGTTCCGACTACGCAGAAGATGTCGACGCCAACGCCACCGGATTTTTGTGGAGCGAGACGTATTTCCGGGCAAAGTGTTTGATACGTGGCTTCTTGTCCTCCCTCGTGTTTCTTTTTTTTTTTCCTTCCTGGAGAGTTTGCTTTTAGCGAATAGATCGAGGGGTGCTCTTTAGTGGGATGATGAAATTATTTAAAAGTGTGTGGTTCGACTGCTGTCGTCATTGCAGCAATTGAACACGGGCCACTGCCCGAATGCCTGTCGAGCTATTGATTATCACGAGCCCAAATCGAGTGCTCACGCAATGCTCGGGTCCAATCTATGAGCCGGAAATTCAAATATCGTCACTGAGGGATACTGCCAACGTTGGAAACTGCGACACCCGAGCTACGTCATCGTGTTTTGCGAAGGAGAAATTGAAAGAGAGCGCTCGCCTTTGTATACGTGGAATTACACCGCAAAAAAGGAGTTTCTTGGCCAGTGGCGTTGTGTGTAAACACACTTGGGCCCCGCCTAGTGAAAAACATTCCAAGCGAATAACGTTGCACTGCCCCTTTAAAACGATTTTTCGTTTGCGCCAGATGCTAATCAATCAATCGCCCAGGGTTAGTTTAAACGCAGTGGCGTAACAACTTTTATTGAGTGGGGGGGGCAAACCATACCTTCCCCCATCGCCGGGGGACGGTGCGTTTGGTATCCCTTGGGCGCCGCCGGGCAGTGTTTGACCAGCCCAGTGGCGGCTGTTTCAGGGGGGGGGGGGGGGGGCTGGCAAAACACATGTCTCTCCCCCCCACCACTCTGAGAACTGGGGAGGGGGGGGCACGCGCCCCTCTGGCCCCCCCGGTTGGGACGCCCATGTTTAGACCGTTCATTCCCATCGTATTTAGCTGGCGGCTCCTCGACTGCGGTGACCTATTGAAAGTAAATCGCTCCCTTTTCATTCGATTCGAAATATGGAAGATTGCCGACGTCTAATGTGAGTAGGAAACTATTCCTGCCCATTTTATGATGTCGTGTTTTGTTAATTTTACCGTGTAAACCCTGGGTATATAGATGTTCCCATTAAATAACGAGACAACGCATTTGTTCAGCACTTTTTGTTTATTTCTGTCGCAGTAACCATGCTATTCTGAATAAAGGGCCCTGGTGCTATTGATCTTCATTATTTTTCTCGCCCTGCAACTGGGCTTTGATAGAGTGAAATTTTAGAAGGGCTGTTTGATCCTGCATGTTTTTGGCGGAGATATGCCGCATTTATTTTGTTATATCCAACATCAGCATTCTTGGTCCCTCTGGCAGTGCCCCTGGAATCAAGTTGCATTCATTGTGAATTTAATGCACGGCATATTCAAACTTGTCCAAAGTACAAACAAAAGGGTGATGTCAAGCTTGATCTCCATAATTTTATATTCAGTCACCTCGAGTGGAATGAAGTTGGATGCATTCGGAATAGCGATGGCACTTGCTATGCTTTGATACCTCTGTTATAATCGTCCTTATGAGTCTTTAGCGTAGACCTAAAGTGGCACTTTTGAGTAAAAACATGTAGACACACAGGTGGTTAAATTATGCTCTTTGTCTCAACAACTGCAGCCATAAAAAGTCAAAGCGAGTATGCAAGCAAGCTGGCAGCTCCAGCGGAGCTGCTAATAGCTCACAGCAGGCACGTAGCCAGGATTTTATTTCGGGGGGGGGGGGGGGGGGGGCGCTAATGACAAAATGTTGTATGAGGGGGAGGGGGGAGAGGAGGCCCAAGCAAAATGGAAGATTTCGGGGGGGGGGGGGGGGCGGGCCCCATGGGCCGCCCCCCTGGCTACGTGCCTGGCTCACAGGCCCCGTAGTCTTCTGCCAGGCTTTGCGACCTTTACAGCACGTTCCGTACGCAAGCACACTCAGAACCTGGATCGTGAACATCAACGCGTTCCGTTACAAGAAGGCGAGAGTGTTCGAGTCAAGAGGGGAGAAATCCTGGGACACAAAAACGCAAGTTGTTAGTGCCGAAGGCCTGAGATCATATCAAATTGCAGAGATCATGGATAGAAATGCCCGGGAATCGCCAGCATCTTTTGTACACAGAAGAGGCATCTACCTTTCTCGATGAGTTCGACTCTGATGCGTATGAGACGGCCGACGAGGTTGTGCCACCTTCCACACCCTCACTTCCGGGACACAGTGCCACTGATAATAGGGAATTGTAGTGGACCGTTCCCGCAGCCCGCTAAGCACCCGGATATCGCTCCGTAATCCGCCACGAGACCTTGAACTATGCAGACAAGGCTGGCGGCGCGCATGCGCAGCTCCGGCGTTTTCTTCGGGGATACCGTAGCGGAGGAGAAAAACGATCTACTACAACTCCCTAATGTAGCAACACTAGCGGAACAAGCGGTTCAAGGTAACAGCACGTGCCACTAGCACCACCGGTCAGAATACAAGATCGCCACGTAACCTTCACTCAGGTGGTCGTCTCGACAAGTCTGTCCACCACAGCACTTGACATGTGTTGAGAACTTTCAGCAAGAGCGGTGACTGAATCGCATGAAACAAAGGAATGAGAAAAAAACTATTCTATTTACTGAGTGGGTGTGTTTGTGTGTTGTGTGTGTTCGTTTTACCAGACCAACATTGTATTTTTGGACTTTTCAAAGGCTTTCAACTGTGTGCCCCGTGGGCGGTTATTACAAAAGCTTGATTTGCTGAGCACTGATATCTCGAATATACACTGAATTAGAGGGGTTTTATCCAATAGAAAACAGTCTGTTGCCGTTTCAGATTACTTGTCGCCGACTATGGATGTAAAGTCCGGCGTTCCCCAGCGCTCTGCGCTAGGAGTCCTGCTCTTTCTTATTTATATGAATGATCTTCCTGTTTGACGTGTGTTCCTCAATTCAACTTTTCGCGGATGTCCACGCCTTATAGAGTCAAATAGTAACTATGACTGGCAACCTGGTCTTGCAAAACGACATAAACCGTATTTTCATGATGTAGTAAGTGGCAAATACGTATTAACATCAACAAAACAAAATTTAGGACCGTATCAGCAACTAAAACCAAAATGTGTTGCGATAACAATCAACAGTGCCGCCCCCCGCCCCCCCCCCCCCTTGATAAAGTTAAGATTTTATTTCTTGCGATAACCTAAGCTGGCATGAACACATTGATTACACTGTAAATAAGGCAAGTTGGCCAATGGGACTGATTAAACGAGAATTGTTTTTAGCATCCACCGAAACTCGTCTTTTAGCTTTCAAATCATTCGTCAGGTCTCAGCATGAGTATGCTGGTATCATAGGGGCTCCTTATCAAGATTATTTGATTTATAAAATAGAATTGAAAACAAGGGATCACGAGTTATAATTCATTACTGCGTACCATCTACGAACGTAACAACCCTAATACATAAGCGAATTTGCCTTCGTTAGAAACCAGAAGTAAGGTTTTTCGTCTTGCGTTTATTCACAACATTAATTATCTTAATGTTATCATCAAGTACAGGTCATTACTTCCCCTTATTGCATTCTTTCTGGACATGACCATCCTCATAAAATCAGTTTACATAAATGTCGTACTAACCAATTTCTCAAATCCCTGCTACAGCTTGCTATTTCCGAGATAGAACAAAATTCAAAACATCATGTGAAATATTACTTGACGGTAATCAGGAATGAGGCATGTGTGCGTGTGTATTTCTTTTCTATTGTGTTTATCGATATTGCTATTGCTTTTAAGTTCTTTTTTTAGATTGATATGATTTCTGTTATTGCATTGCACGTTAATGCATGCTGTATTTTGTATCCCCCCTCATATTGCCGCGCGCAGGGTCGCGGACTTGTAGAAGGCTCTTGTTTATTCTTGCTGCGGACATGCCTTCTATCGTTTATCCCTGCTTTTGTTGTTCTAGAAAGTGCGTGTTCATTCTCGTTCCACCTTCGAACCTTCTCCGCCGAATCTTCGAGATAGTGACTCACTCTAGATAAGAGGCCACCCGCAACCTTGTCGAGTCAGTCTCGCCCCAGCGCTCGATCCTGCGGTTTCGCCGACATCGACGCCCGCGACGCTCTCCTGCCTTCTTCTGTTTCCTTTTTCATTTATTAATTTGGGCACAAGTTCGCCCCATTAAACGTTTAGTTTACTTCAGTTTTCGTCGCCTCATCACTTGTCATTCGTGACAATATAATACCTAACCGGGTGACTTTAGGTACGTTAAATAAAAAGTACCTCGTACCGTTTCTCTCTTGTACATAATCCATAAGTTGTATTACAGCGATTGTTATACAAGCATTTCTGTCCTTAAACCGACTAATAGATCATCCAAAACTGCCGACAATGGCGTACGCCGCGTCGAGGAATCGCAGGCCGATTTGGGTTATTTTGCGGGATCGTCCGCTATCGCAACCCAATTGGCCGGTGCTACCTCGACGCGGTGTACGCCATCTGTTGGCAG